GTATATACCAAGAATTGTAACAAATTATAACAAATAGTAACATAAGGTATTACTCATAGGAAAATTAGAGGAGGTATATGGGAACTCTCTGTAATATCGTCTCAATTTTTCTATAAATCTAAAAATGTTCTAAAAAATAAAGTCTACTATAAATTTTAAAATTAATACCTTTAATTAATTAAGGCTTTAATTAATTTTAAAAGGTATTAATCATGGCATTGCTGAGCGGTTCAATGAAATAGCACCTAACACATTCTAAAGTTATGTTATCATCAATATCATCATTATCATCATCATTCTAGGCACTTAGAACAACAGCACATGCAAAGGCACAGAAATTTAGAATGGAGAGGCATGTGGGAGACAGGATCCTGAAGGCCTTGAGTGCTGAGCTGGAGCCTTTGGAAGGAATTTATGGGGGAAGGGTACACGCTGGCCCACCTTTGTCCCACCAGTCTCCTCCCTAACCACCTGGAAAGCTGTGCTCCAGCCAGCCAAAGTGAGCTGCCATCTAAGGCCTTGCTATCTCACTTCTGAGGACTTTGCCAATGCTGTTCCCTCTGCCTGGAACACCCTCCCTTGCCCTTTCGCCTCACCTTTTCTGACCACCTTCAATTTATCCTTCAGGTCTTAGCTTAGACATTTTTTAAAAGCCTTCCAGAACCTTCCAAGATGCTATGAATATGATTTGGATGGAGGCAGTTGGGGTGAGGTGCAGGAAGCTAGGGATGGAGAAACTGAGCTCAGCTCTTTGCCACTGGCACCCATCCCCCTTTCCCCCCAAATCCAGCCACACTAGATGCTGCCCTGTCTTTGAACACACCATCCACCTTCATGATGCCTGTCCTCTGCTCATGCTGTTCCCTCTGTCTGGAATTCTTAGTCCTTTTCTCCTCATCTCTTATCTCTGTAGTGAACACCTGCATGTCAAGTCTTAGCTCACGCATCACCTCCTGTGTGAAGCCATTCTAGATCCTTCACATGGAAAGGGCACTTTCCTCTGGTTCCCAAGGTGTCCATGGTCCTCCAGCCACACTGCTGGCAACACACTCATCATGCTGCATCGGAATAAATGTTTGCTGAATGGATGGACAGCAAGCCCACTGTCATCCTCTCCAATTCTGCAAAACTTTACTCTCCTCTAGGAGGCCTTCCCTGGCGGCTCCAGCCCATTAGCCCCTCTCCCTTTCTTTTTTTAGCAGTTAGCCCCTAATTGTATTCTAACTATTGTGTGTGTAAGAATTAATCTCTTGGATTAAATTCTTTAAGGAAGGAACCATGTCTCACATTTTCTGTTTTTTCACTCATTCAAGTATTTACAAAGCGCCTACTCCAATGTTTCAGTTAGGGTCCCAGGCTCTGGAGAGGCAGCAGTGAAGAAGACCCCAGCTTTGCACAAATAGAGCACTGTCTTAACCAGACTATGCTGCAGTAACAAAGAATTCCAAAATCCCAGTGACATAGCACCAGAGTCATTTATTGCCCACTTGTGCCACATGCCCATCATGGTTCCTCTGCTTTAGGTTCCTCTCCTTCAGAGACCTAGGCTGAGGAGTCCCTTCCATTTTGGAGCTGCACCCACTGGAACTTGTGACCTTCTCAGTTACCATGGCAGGAAGAAAGAGAATGGATGGTGTTTCTGGTTGTTGTTGTTGTTATTGTTTTGAGATGGAGTTTCACTCTTGTTGCCCAGGCTAGAGCACAATGGTGTGATCTCGGCTCACCACATCCTCCGCCTCCCGGGTTCAAGTGATTCTCCTGCCTCAGCCTCCCAAGTAGCTGGGAATTACAGGCGCATGCCACCACGCCCAGCTAAGTTTGTATTTTTAGTAGAGATGTGTTTCTCCATGTTGGTCAGGCTGGTCTCAAACTCCTGACCTCAGGTGATCTGCCTGCCTCAGCCTCCCAAAGTGCTGGGATTACAGGCATGAGCCACGATGCCCAGCCAAGAATGGATGTTTTTTTTTCAGGCATGGATTTTTCACTGCTTCTGCCTGGAGGTGACACATACACCCCTTCTCACCATCCATTGGCCAAGACTAGTCACATGGTCCTGCCTGCTTCAAGGGAGGCTGGGAAATACAGTGCTCCTCTGGAAAGAGAATAGACTGGATGTGGGTGAGCTCTTCCACTGTCTGTCCCAGGAGAAAGAATTTAGCAAATAATTACTGAAGTAATGCTTTAATTAGGTCTCATAAGTGCTACAAAGGAGAGGCTGAAGTGTCTGGAGAGCATCTGAGAGAAGATCAGGGAGGGATTCCCAGAGTAAGGGACATTTAAGCTGGCACCAGGGAAGAGTGTTTCCAACAGAGAGAACAGTTATGTGAAGGTTCTGGGACAGGAAGGAGTCTGACACATTGAAGGGCCAGAAAAGAGAAGGGAGCTGTGAAGTGACACTGAGGGCTGGATGTCCCAGGCAGGCCCAGATAGGTAAGGGTTTAAGATATTAGCCAAAGGGTAAAGGAAGTCCCGGGGAGGAGTTAAGCAGAGATGTGATATGGGCAGAGTTTTCTCCAAAAGGCCTGTGTGGTTGCTGAGGAGAGAATGGACTGGAATGGGGCAGAGTAGGGAAGCAGTGGGGGTGCTGGGGGCAGTGAGGAGACTTTCAGATCCCTCTAGGTGAAAGGTGGCAATGGCTTGGACCTTGGCATTGGCAGAGGTGGAGAGAAGTGGACAAACATGGGATTTATTAAGGAATCAGCCCTACTAGGACTCGGTGACTGATAGATGTGGGGAGTAAGAAAGCAGGAGGTGTCCAGGTGACTCACGGGTTTTGTAGCCCTCATAGTGCCCAGCACAAGGCTGGCTCCATTATATTGTATCCCCAGCATGTTCACCGTGGGACCTTGACCTTGGACTCATCTGGGACATCCAGCCCTCAGTGTCATTTTGCAATCCCACCTCATTCCACTCCAGATTCCCTGTTCTTTCTGTCCCTTCAGTGTGGCAAGCTCCTTCTTACCATATAGCCTTCACTATATGGAGTCATTCTGTCTTTTGGAAATACTTCTCTCAGCTCCTCCCTGATGTCGGCTTAAATGTCCCTCTCTGTCATCAAGCTAGCTAACCACCTCCTCGTTCTGCAGGAGGAGGGGTGTACCTCCCATCAGAACTAAAAACGCTCTCAAGCATGAACACATGCACTTTCTTCTCCTTCTTCTTCTTCTTCTTTTTTTTTTTTTTTTCTTCAACTTTTAAATTCCAGGGTGCATGTGCAGGATGTGCAGATTTGTTACATAGGTAAATGTGTGCCATGGTGGTTTGCTGCACAGATCAACTCATCACCTAGGTATTAAGCCCAGCATCCATTAGCAATTCTTCCTGATGCTCTTCCTCCCCCTGCTCCCCAAATTGGCCCCAGTATGTCTTGATCCCTCGCTATGTGTTCATGTATTCTCATTGTTCAGCTCCCACTTATAAGTGAGAACATTCAGTGTTTGGTTTTCTGTTCCTGCATTAGTTTGCTAAGGATAAAGGCTTCCAGCTCCATCCATGTCCATACAAAGGACATGGTCTCGCTCCTTTTTATGGCTTCATAGTATTCCATGGTGTATATGTAGCACATTTTCATTATCCCATCTATCATTAATGGGCATTTGGGTTGGTTCCATGTCTTTGCTACTGAACATATGCACTTTCTACTTGGACCCCCTACAGTACTCCTGAGAGGGAGGCTGGTAGGAACATTATCCCCATTTCACAGTGGGAAAAACTGAGGCCAGAGAAGGGAAGTGGTTAGTTACATCTTGGGGCCAGGCCTTTAGCTGAGGTCCTCTAACTCCTAGTTCAGAGTTTCTTTTACTGCAGTGCCTGGTACATAGTGGGTGCTGTATGGCATTTGCCAAGAGAATAAATGAATGAATGAATGAGCACATGACTGTCTGCCCATTCACTTCTTTACCTTTGCTCATTTTATTTCCTTCAAAGAGGCTGTAGATTGAGCTAGCAGATTAGGTTTAAGAGTCCCAGAGAGCTGTTTGAACCCTAGCTTTGTCATTTAAAGACAGTGACTTTAGGCAAGTTTCTTCCTCTCTGTGCCAATTAAGGATGCAAATACCTACTTTACAGAGCAGGTATTAAAAGAGAATGTGTGGGTTAGGCCAGAGTAATGTTGGCTGCCTGTTCTTCAGGGACCTGTTCCCACCTTGCCTCCCTTGGAAAATCTTCCCTGAGAACACCAGCCTTCTCTTACCCACACCCAATAAGAACCTCTCCAGCCCTTCTTATCTGTACCTCCCAGGTTATGACCCAGATGAAAAGTCATTTAAACCGCAAACTAGATGCTCTGCCTTCCCAGGGCAGTGGCATAATTCACATCGGTGTGAAACTCAATCTCTCTGTACTCTCTTTTCCACTTTCTTGGGGGAGTGGGGCAGGAAGGGGAAAACTACCACTTTCTCTGGGGAGACTCTGAGTATCATTTGGCCCTCTGTTAAGCAGAGATATGAATGGAGCTTTGGGTAAACCAAAGCTGTCCATGAGCTGAGGAGGAGATGGAGATCTAACTTGCTGTACATGATAAGCTGATGGGGATAATGGCCTATAAGTCTCTACATGGCATGGTCGCTGCCAACCCTTTCATCCCCAACCAGAACTGTTCCCCGTTGGCCTCGGTGCTCCAGCCACATAAGCCCCCTGGAGTTCACAGAAGGCATGCTGATTCCTCTTGCTACAGGGCCTTTGCACAGGCACTCCTCTCAGATGTGCCCCCTCACCATTTCTGCCCCGTCACCTAGTAAGCTCCTCCTCACCCAACACATCGTGGCTCACAGCCACATCCTGAGGGTGACCTTCTGCCACCTTCAGGATACTCTCGTAGCTCCATGGACCTACCTTTCCTTTTTTGCAGACTTAACTCAGCTGCAATTATTCATTCTGATTTCTAATTGTTTGCTTTGACATCAGATTGTAAGCTCAATACATATTTCTTCCTTCATGCAATAAAAAGTGATGGAGATCGAATTTTTGAAGGTGAAGGGTCTCAGAAAATGAACAGGTTGAAATATTTGAGCATCATCTTGAAGTGTAGGGGTGATCCATAAAATGGGAGAGCCTGAGAAGAGCAGTGGCCGGCGCTGGTGGCTGAAGGACCCTGAAGAGCAGGACTAGCCATTATTCAACTTGCTCCCCTTTACTTTGCTATGATAAAACCCCTGTCTCCTTCAACGTCAGTAAAATAACCCGCATACTGAACATGAAGTTGGCACAGGGTTGCCTGGCTTGGCACTGGGCAGAGAGGAAAGGTGAGCAGAGGAGAGACAAAAGGTGTGCTGGGAGGAGAAAATTGGGGCTGGAAATAAGCACAACTTTGCAAGTCACTGGAATTTGAGGAAATCTTGGGGCCATCACTGGATTTCTTCAAGATGTGAGATAGGAAATTCCAGTCCATTTTTATCTAAATCTCAAAGGACTAGTAATCTGGGCTCTCAGCAGGAAGAATGCTGTGACTGATTAGCAATGTCTGTCATGGGCAGTGACAACTGGTTACATAGATCTGCAGTTGTGATCTTAGCCAGAGGGTGAAGACTATGTCTTAGTCATCTTTCACCATCAGTCACCATCAGCAGTGAGCTGGGGGTTATGGGATAGAGGGAGATGGCAGTGGGATGGGCAGCAGGGCAGAGCCTTGACCAGGCAGGACAGGACATGGGGCACCAGATCCTGACAATGTTAAATCCTGGAGTGAGCTTGGGCAAGCCGTGTTGCATCTCTGGGCTTCAATTTCTTCAGCTTTGAAATGGGCCAATAGTACCTGTGGCAAGTTATAAGGCAAGAGCATTAGTGCTTTGAGGTCAGACACACAGGGCTCAAATCTTGGTTCCCACTAGCTTTAGGACCTAGGAAGATCTCAGTCTTCTCATTTATAAAATGGGGGTAATGATTCTTACTTCACAGGTCAGCAAGGCACCTTGCTGGGCTTTGAGGGGCTTGACCTCACCCAGAGAAGGGAGAGTGCCCAGCACAGTGCCCAAAAGACAACCAGTGCTCAATGACTGCTCACTCCCTTTTTCCTACTGAGTCTAAGGAGTTCACGGGTGTGGAAGGGCTCTATCATCCATAAATTGTCTTCGGAAAGGGAGGCTGATGACAGCAACTACTTACAGCCTTTCCCCCAGCTGGCCTGACAATCCTCCTATGCTGGACCCTCGAAGCACATCTGGACCCTCGCAGCACATCTGGACCCAGCTCCCTTTCATGACTGGCCCCGAGGCTGCCGAGGAAAAGGGCAGAAGTGCCATAATGAGAGGGCTGACAATAACCTTCCCTCATAATTACCATTTGCAGTAATTAAATAATAATAGCCTCTTGTTGGCCCTGAGAATTCAAAGCAGCCCACATCATAACATCTGGTTCAGCCTTTTGCCAGGAATTGAATGCCCATAGGGACAAGATGGGGAAATTGAGGCAGAGGGGGATAAGGGTAGCCATTCTTAAGTCACACAGAAATCAGAATGCCAGCGTTAGGGCAAGGTCCTTAAAGAAACAACTCCAAGTGGCAGATAGCCGCAGCCCTGCATTTTGGGTGCCGGCTCAAACCACTCACATGCTGTGTGGCTTGGGTGGTTCACTCCCTTCTTTGTGCCTCAGTTGCTCCATATGTAAAATGAGATAGAGTCAATATTTGACCTGCCCTGAGCGTATTGTTCTAGGCTTTATTTTGTTCATACATAATAATGGGAAATTATTTTTGCACGCATTGGATTGCTAGAAATAGAAATCCACCATAGACCAGCAAAGAAACAGAAAAAAATGGGTTTACCAGTCTACTAATTCTAGAAAGGGTTGAACAGTCAGAGGTCCTGAGACCTCTGCTTTTTGTGTGTGAAAAAAGTAGAGGGCTCAGGAACAATTAAACCAGAGACCAGGACATCTCAAGGCCTCCTTCCTCTCTGCACCTCTTGAACACCAGCTTTATTCTTTCTCCACCTTTCTTCAGAGGGTGAGGAACATGGAGCACCAGCAGTTACTCCAACCTGCAGTTCAGAGTGTCAGCCACCTACAGGCACCTACCCTCACTGGTCTGGCTTGAGCCAGGCAGCCACCCTTGAACCAATAACTATATCCAGTAAGGCAGGGTCTATAATGGCCTATAGCAACTTCAGGGATGGAGTAAGAGAAGGAGGGGCCAGTCACAGAGTTAGTAGGAGCCACTAGGCAGGCAACATAATAGTCATCTACTAAAACAAAATTCCTGCACGTGACCTGCAAAACAGTGAAGGGAAAGTTGCTGTAAAATCAAAGCAATGGCATAAATCACCAGAACAGAGAAATACCAGAGGCTCCCCTTGCAGGGGAAGGGGAGAGCTGTACCGTCTCAGGTGGGCTTGACTTCAGACCCCAGCCCTCTGAGCTGGGGAACCAGTCCAATGTGAGCATCCCCTTTCATCACTGCACCGACCTGGAAAAAAGCAATTCCCGGGCTTTTCCATGGCCTGAGTGAACATTGATTGGTGCTGCCTGCCAGGCCCCTTCTTTGGGGGTGTTTCTGGTGGGGACCAGCGGATCACATAACGCAAGCCAGGCCAATTAGAATCCTTCTCCTGGTCTTTCCTTGAGAGACACCCAAGGCCACGACCCCATCCCAGAGAAGAGACATCCCATGACGAGAAGGTAGCATTCCCCTGCCTGATCTCAGCCACCCCGGAGTTGGGCCTAACTGCAAGCCCTTCCCTTGGTTTGGCTATATTGAGTCAATCAAATCCCCCTTTGAGTAGGTGTATTTACTTCCTGGGACTATTATAATAAAATACCACAAACTCAGTGGCTTAAGGTAACAGGAATTTATTCTCTGGAGGCCAAAGTCCAAATAGAAGACGTCAGCAGGACCATGCTCCCTCTTCCTAAGGCTCTAGGGTAGAATCCTGTCTTGTCGCTTCCAGTTTCTGGTGGGTGCATAACTCTGATCTTTGCCTTTGTCTTCCCACGGCTGTCTCTCTCTCTCTCTCTCTCTCTTTCTCTCTCTCTGTCTCTCTTTTTGAGATGGAGTCTTGTTCTATCACCCAGTCTGGAGCGATCATGCTCACTGCAGCCTTGAGCTCTTGGGCTCAAGTGAGTCTCCTACCTCAGCCTCCTGAATAGCTAGGATTACAGGCACATGCCACCATACCCAGCTAATTTTAAAAAATTTTTTGTAGAGACAGAGTCTCGCTATGTTGCCCAGGCTGGTCTCAAACTCCTGGCCTCAAGTGATCTTCCTGTTTGGGCCTCCCAAAACACTGAGATTACAGGCATGAGCCACCGCATCTGGCTTCCTTCCATCTCTCATAGGGACACTTGCTGCTGGATTTTTGTTCACAGTCGTATGCCTACCCAGGTAGTAATCCAGAATGATCTTCCGATCTCATCTCATGATCCTTAATTATATATGCAAAATCCTTTTACCAAATAAGGTCACATTTACAAGTTCTGGGAGGTAGGACATGGGCATATCTCTTTTTTGGGGGGCAGGGGGCACCATTTAACCCACTATAGCAAGCCTATGTCATTTGTAACCAAAAAAAAAAAAATCCCTCGTATATGCCTCAGGATTAGGCATGGATTAGTCCTCCTCACTGTGTTCTGGTCCTGAACTCTGAAGCAACATGTTAATAACTAACTCCAATCCTTTCTGAGAATGCAATCCATCTCTGAGCCCCAGGTTTTGTTTTCCACCTGTAAAAATGGGGCACATACATCTGAATGGTGGTTGAGTGTGTTAAATGAAGAGTCATTGGTCAAACCCAGCCTCACACTTTAAACATCAGAGCTTTTTCCCAGCCTTGACGGTGGACCTGAGCACTCAGGCCACTGTGAAGGAGGAGCCCTGCTTACAAATGAGCCACCTGACACCTGGTTCATTCATCAAATTCCCAGGAGTCCTGGCAGCCTGAGTTCACCCAGACTGGACCCTGTGCACCTGACAAAAACAAATTTCTGCTTCTGCAGAGCTGAGGGCTGGAGCCTCTGGCTAAGTCTGTCAGCCTTGTAAAATGGCAGGAATCCAAAGGCTGATAAAATGAGGTTGGCAGTCCCATGAAGAAAATCCCAGAGATTAAACCCAAAAAACCCAACACAATATTAATAGCTGTTCCTTACTGTGTACCTCCTCCAAGCCAGGCCCACACTCAGGCCCTTGCCCCCGCTCCCTTTTAATCCTCACCACAATCCTATGAGGTAGCTCTCGTGATCCCCGTTTTACAAAGTTGTTGAGGCTCAGAGAGATGAAGCCAGTGATCTAAGGCCACACAGCAGAGTAAATTGTGGAGCCTGAGGCAGCTCCGTACCTGTCACCTCAGCCATGATAAGTGCCTTCCCAGTCTCTCCTCCCCACAAAGGGTGGCATCAGAGCAATTAGCACCATGGTGAGATAGGATTCTGAAATATGAACTGAAGGGCTTTCCCTCGCAAAATGTCCTTGTCCCCTTGGTCATTCCTCCATGGACTTTGTCTTGTTCACAGTAGTATGCCCAGTGATTAAAAGAGTGCCTGGCACATAGTCTGTACTCAATAAACATTTGTTGAATGAATGAATTCAGTTAGTGAGGGCATTCCGGTGGTTAGTGCCTCAGGGAAGAGATGACGTGATAACACAGACAACAAAGGCATCCTGATCTGGCCTTTAAAGTGTCAAAACCCTAGACCCAGACAGAAGACCAAAGAGCTGGGAGAGCATGTGATATATAAGGAAACAGTTCATCCCTGATACTAGAACACGCATCTCCCTGCCCTGCCCCTCTGGGAATGACGGGAAGGGGAAGGAGAATCAGAGGGGAAGCAAAAACCAAAAACAAAGCTCTCTGCTTTGTAAAAGCACTTGGAAAAACAGAACGTACTCTAGACATTACAGTGATTACTCCAAGGAACCTCAATCCTGCTTCTCCCATCCCATCCCTCCACTGACGATTCTTTCACCAGTCGCCATATCCATGGACACTTTCTCATTTTTCTTTTCCTTTTTTTGTAAATTACACATTTTTTTTCCATTCTAAAAATGATGCATGCTCATGATAGAAAATACATAAAAGTCGAAGGAAAACAGGAAGAATCTCCTTCGGGTCCATCACTTAACAATAACTAATATTTTGATGTATTCCCTCCAAACACTTTTAAAAGTTGTGGTGATCTGGGGCCAGGCATGGTGGCTCATATCTGTAATTCCAGCACTTTGGGAGGCCAAGGCAGGCAGATCACCTGAGGTCAGGATTTCAAGACCAGCCTGGCCAACATGGTGAAGCCCCCGTCTCCACTAAAAAAAAAAATACAAAAATTAGCTGAGTCGGGTGGCGGGTGTGCCTGTGGTCCCAGACGCGCCTGTGGTCCCGGCTACTCTGGAGGCTGAGGCAGGAGAATCACTTGAACCCAGGAGGCAGAGGTTGCAGTGAGCCAAGATAGCGCCACTGCACTCCGGCCTGGGCAACAGAGCAAGACTCCATCTCAAAATAACATAACAACATAACATAACATAACATAACATAACATAACATAACATAACATAACGTAACAGTTGTGGTTCTTTGGTAATATAAAAGCATTCATAATTATTTTGAATATCTCTCATTATAATACATTGTCACTGGGAAAAAATAGAACAGAAAGAAAACATAAATATTAACCAGAATCCCCCAATCTCAGACACAATCCAGGTTCCTCCCTCCACCTCCTACTGTTTTCTGGGACTTGTGGTTTTGGTATGAATGTTTTTCTAAGGACATATACAGGGAAGGGAGGAGGGGAAGCAACACTTTGGCTTGTCCAAAACAGAACTCATGACTTAGAAACACAACTGCCCATTTTTCTGGTTGCAGTATATCTTCAGTTTCTGAACCAGGAGCAGAGAATGAGGGGAAAATGAGATATTTACACCTTGCACTTTCTTAATAAGTACCACAGGAGGTTTAATTCCACTTCTCAACCCACCTCCATCACTTCCTAATCCATGGGAAGTCTTGATTCTGGCCAGGGGTTGATGTTCAATGCTGGTTTTCAGTGTCTTTCTTAGAGAATTTTTATCTTTTTCCAGGTCTTCACAGGTATGTTAGTGGGTGTATCACTAACTGCTTGCTAGGCTCCACTTTATTTATTATTGACAAATTATAACTGTGTATATTTCTGGGGTAAAAAGTGATGTTATGTGCAGAGAGTGTGGAATGAGAGAACCCACTTTAAAAGTTCATCCTTATCCTATTTGACCTCTCATGGCATTTGTCCCCGTTGACCACTTCCTCCTGCTCAAAATGCTCAATCCCCTTGATTTCTGTGACAGCATGGTCACTGCATTGTCCCTTTGCCTTCTGGTCTGTCCTTTTCTGTTCATTTTGCTGGTTCCTCTTCCTCGGCCATCTTTCCCTAGGGTTCATTCTCGCTCTCTCTTCCATCCCCTCCATGACTTACACAAGGTTAATTCTCCCCCCGCCACCCCGATCCATCCCTGCAGCCTCAGGACGCCATGCCCAGTAGCTTGCTGCACACCTCCCCCTGCTCAGCCCTCAGGAATCTGAGATTCCACATGTCCACAGCCTCCTCATCACCTTTCCCAGAATTCGTTCTTCTTGCTGAACTGATGCTCTCTCATCCTCTCTCACCCTCTTCCATTCACCCACAAGGGTTGGCTCAGTGACATCTTTAGCTCATCTCTCCCCTTTACCCCACATACCACTGAGTCCAGCTTAACTTGCTTGGTTTTGGTGGTGGAGGTTGGGGGTGGGTACATTTTCATAGTGAAATAATTTCAGGGCCAGGCATGGTGGCTCACACCTGTAATCCAGGTACTTTGGGAGATCAAGGCAGGAGGATGGCTCCAGGCCAGGAGTTCGAGACCAGCCTCGGCAACACAGCGAGATATTCTAACATTTCCCTTTTATTTCTTCTGGCAGCATAAGACCAGTATTTTCTCTTGCTTCTCTCAGCTCTCTTCTTTGAGATTTCATACTCATTCCTTTATGATTTGTTGTTGCACAGTTAGTGGACTTTTCCATGATTTCTGTACACCAATCTTCAAGGAGAAATATTTATTTATTTGTTTATTTACTTATTTATTTTAGTGTAAACATAACTTTGTAAAAAATTTTATTCATACAAATTTTTTTTCTTTTTTTTTTTTTTGAGATGGAGTTCAGCTCTTTGGCCCAGGCTGGAGTAAAGTGGTATGATCTTGGATCACTGCAACCTCTGCTCCCCGGATTGAAGCAATTCTCCTGCCTCAGCCTCCCCAGTAGCTAGGATTACAGGCACCCACCACCACACCCAGCTAATTTTTGTATTTCTAGTACAGATGGGGTTTTGCCATGTTGCCCAGGCTGGTTTCGAACTCCTGATCTCAGGTGATACACTCACCTCAGCCTCCCAAAGTGCCAGGATTACAGGCGTGAGCCACTGTGCCCAATCCATACATAATTTTTTAAAGCTTGATATTTTACTCTCCAGTGATCAGGGCTGATTCTGGCTGATTCCAAGTATTTTTGTGTCAGATTCACCTTACCTAAAACTTCACACTTGAAAAGGACAACTCGGCCGGGAGGTGGGAGGGGGGGGATTGTCATATACAGCAGAAAGCACAATCTCAACAGATTCCCCCTTTGGATTACCCAGCACTTCAAAAGTTGGGGTTCACTTTTCAAGCACCATCTCTACTACATGCACAGCTTCGTGTGGTGCAATCATTTTGCATGGGAAAGTCTTTCCACTGTCACACCCTTATTCTGCAGCGTCTGCACCAGCAAAGTGAGATTGAAAAGCATGAGTATATTTTTTCCAAAGTTCTGTAAAGTGCCACACATGGGGGAAAAACACCAGGTAATAACATAGAATGTCAGAATCGCACTCAGGTTCAGTTTTTTCGCCATCACTCTGCTATCACTGCTTGTTTTGAATCTACTATTTAAACACAGGGATATGGGATATGACAGGGGTTGGAGGTGCAAACTGCACCAAAGTTAGCTTGAACAGGAAGAACCAAAATGAATGTACTCTGTAAACAAACAAATACATTTTGCAGGGTTTACATATACCAGGGCAAAATGTCTACCTGGGAATTCTCCAAATAAACATCCACTTTGAACCTAACATTTATGAAAAGATAAGTAGTAAGAATTTGCTAATTTGAATTGTACATATGTATGTGTCTATGCATATGTGTTTATGTGTATATATATGTATACTGAATATATAATTAAATCTAAAAGCAATGGGAGCAATTGCTCAGATGTTTTAAGGGAGGACTGTTTTCTCACTGAATTGTTGGCACATAGTGATAATAAAAAGCACCTCAATTTTAGTCTGTGTCACTACTTTCAAATTCTTAAAAAAACACCACTCATTCACTCACTGCCTGCACCCAGACCAGATGATTCCCACCCTTGGTATGTCACTGACTCAATGCCTCATATCAGGAAGCAGGTGATTGTCAGTTTGTTCCAATGTAGGCTGTGTTAACTTTGATCACTTGATGAAGGTGGAGTCCCCTGTAAAGTTACATGTTTCCCTTTGTCACTAATAAATAAGACCACACTAATATCCTGTTCTTCATCAGGCTTTCACCCGGGGGGTTCTACTACCCTCTGATGATTTTCCAATTCTCATTTCTATATTTAGTAGTTGGCATTCTACTGTAAGAAAAAGCATTCCCTTCTCCCTACTTTATTTCCTTATGTATGTCAGTATGGATACATAGATTTATATTTTTTCAATGGGTGACAGTCTGTTATTATCATTATTTATTTTGGTTTTCAAATTATCCCTGATTTGGCCAGTGGGAGTGTTTTCAGTTAGTTCCTATGTCCTTCTGACATGTTCCCATCTGATATGATTTGGTTCTGGGTCTCCACCCAAATCTCACCTTGAATTATAATCCTTGTAATCTCCACGTGTCAAGGGCAGGACAAGGTGGAGGTAATTGGATCATGGAGGTGGTTTCCCTCATGCTGTTCTCGTGATAGTGGGTGAATCTCATGAGATCTGATGGTTTTATGAATCTGGCATTTCCCCTGCTTGCACTTACTCTGTCCTGCCCCCCGCCCAAAGCAGGCGCCTGCTTCTCCTTTGCCTTCCGCCATGATTGTGAGTTTCCTGAAGCCTACCCAGCCATGCAGAACTGTGAGTCAATTAAACTTCTTACTTCTATAAATTAGTCAGTCTCGGGTATTTCTTCACAGTAATGTGAGAATGGACTAATACGCTACCATTCTTTTGAGCACTTCCCTGCTTTCTGATGTGTACCACTATGTATTATTTAAAACCCATGTGAGTATATGTATCAACAAGTATATGAGTACCAGGAAATGATCTAGGGGACCCCAGAGGGAACATTTGTGGCCCCGATTAGGGCCCGTGTGTGGGGTCTTGCCAACAACATTGGAACAGGAGAGAGCAAATGTGAGATCTACCTTTAGCTCTGTCTGTGACTCCCCACCAGAGTGAGTGTGCTGCCACTGTTCTGTCCAGTATAAATACGCTGGCATATCATAATCTATTATTAATGGTATTTGATAATAGTGCCACAGACACAAATTGGGGGATGAAGTAGGTGTTATCTGGCTCACAGCGGTAGTCCCAGAGCTAATTCACTGTGTTGGTAGTCCCCATGCCCTCAACAGCACCTTCTGGGAAACCACTCCTGCTGGGGCTGCCATAACAAAATGCCATAAACTGGGCGGATTAAACAACAGAAATTCATTTTCTCACAGTTCTGGAGGCTGGAAGTGCAGGATCAACGTGCCTGCATGGTCTGGTTCTGGTGAGGTCTCTCTCCTCAGCTTGCGGAGGGGGGCTTTTCATCGTGTCTCCACATGGCCTTTTCTCTGTGTGCACACAAGAAGAGGGAGAGAGGGAGACAGAGAGAGAACACCCAGGGGGTGTCTCTTCCTCCTCTTATAAGGACCCCAGTCCTATCGGATTAGGACCCCACCCTTATCACCTCATTTAACCTTAATTACCTCCTTTAAAGGCCCTGTCTCCAAATCCAGTCACATTGGGTGTTAGGGCTTTAACGTATGAAGTCTTGGGAGACACAATTCAGTCCGTAACATCTCCCTTGGCTCTGGCTACATGACCCTTCCTTTCTAGCTGCATTGATTGGCTGAGGTGCAAGCACCTGACCCAGGCTTGGCCAATCACAGTGCTTCACTTTCCTCAGCTATTGTGATTGGCTCTGCCAAGGTCACATGGCTCAACTTGGCTTTCCAAGGGATTTTATTTTTTAGTTTGAAGTGGAGATCTCAATTTATTTTATTTTAATTTTTTTGAGACAGAGTCTCACACTGTCACCCAGGCTGGCATGCAGTGGCGCAATCTCAGCTCACTGCAACCTCTGCCTCCCAGGTTCAAGTGATTCTCCTGCCTCAGCCTCCTGAGTAGCTGGGATTACAGGGGCCTGCCACCACGCCTGGCTAATTTTTTTGTATTTTTAGTGGAGACGGGGTTTCACTATGTTGGCCAGGCTGGTCTCCAACGCCTGACCTCTGATCCACTCGCCTTAGCCTCCCAAAGGTACTAGGATTACAGGTGTGAGCCACCATACCCAGTCACAGTTTTTTTTTAAATAAAAGGCTAGATAGTAAATATTTTCAACTTTGGGAGAGAAGGAGTATATGGTCTCTGTCACAACTATCAATCCCGTGTTAGACTCTGCCCTTGCAGGTAAAAGCCTATGAAGTGATTAATAGATTTCATAGATGCTCAATTTTATTAGCATGTAGTTCCAGCATCTTTAACACAGCCTTCCAGGTGTCCCTGTCCTCAGCAGCTGAGGGAGTAAAGAAAGAGAAACCTCTACTCACATTCCATTGGCCAAAACTAGTCACATGACTCCACCTGGCTACAAGGGCCCTGGGAAATGCAGTTCACTTATGGGCCCAGGAGGAAGAAGTGGGTCTGATGTACATCCAGCCATCCTCTGCCAACAACTCCACCACAGATCATCATGAGGACTGAGGGGAAGAATACTGTGAAGACTTAGGACAGCGTCTGGTCCACATAAGCATGCAACAAATGTTAGCTACTGAAGCTTCAGGGGGAAAGAGAAATCACTCTTTCTTTCTGGTAGTAGAGCCGTTATCGATGTCATCTTGGAGCAGCCTGCAGCCATGGCTGCAACTGTGAGGAGAAGGTCAGGGTAGGGAAGAGATGCTGACACACAGAAAGAGACCAGTGAGATAGTCCTGACTGCGCAGAAGTGTCTGTTGCAATCAAGCCTGTCCTTCTGCAGCCTTGGTCAGTCTGCTCTCAACAATAACAACAACAACAGTAATAGTACCTGACATCTGTTAAACTGTACTATGTGCCAGATGCTTCATTAAGCTCTTAACAGATAATATTTTTGTAATTCAAACCACAACCCATGGCAAGGGGAGGAGTCATTAAATTATTTTAAGGAGTTGATACCAGCATTTAACAAAAAAATTTAAATTTTATTTTTAACTGAAAAAATAATTGTATATATTTATGAGATACGATGTGATGTGTGGTTTTGTTTTGTGGAGTTTTTTTGAGACAGAATCTCGCTCTGTCACCCAGGCTGGAGTGCAATGGCGCGCGATATCAGCTCACTGCAACCTCCACCTCCCAAGTTCAAGTGATTCTCCTGCCTCAGCCTCCCGAGTATCTGGGATTACAGGCATGTACCACTACACCCAGCTAATTTTTGTATTTTTAGTAGAGACGGGGCTTCATCATGTTGGCCAGGCTGGTCTCGAACTCCTGACCTCAAGTGGTCTGCCCACCTCAGTGCTGGGATTACAGGTATGAGCCACTGTGCTTGGCCACAATGTGATATTTTGATGTATGTTTATATAGTAGAATGATTAAATCAAGCTAATTAACAAATCCATCACCTCATCTACTTATCTTATTTTCGTGGTAAAAACATTGAGTGTCAGCATTTTTAAGAATAAACAAAATAGACTGCACTAGACTAGACTAAACTAGAACACAAATTATCAGAGTATATCACATATAGTAGTAAGGGCAAATATTGTGTGTGTGTGTGTGTGTGTGTGTGTGTGTGTATTTTTTTTTAGAGACAGAGTCTTGTTCTGTCACCCAGGCTGGAGGCTACAGTAGCTTGAACTCCTTGGTTCAAGTAAGTCTCCTGCCTCAGTCTCTTGAGTAGCTAGCTAGGACTATAGGTGCACACCACCACACTGGGCTAATTTTCTTAATTTTTTGTAGAGATGGGATCTCACTATGTTGCCCTGGCTGGTCTCAAACTCCTGGCCTCAACTGATCCTCCCAAAGCCTCTCAAAGTACTGGGATTGCAGGCATTAGCCACTGCAACCGGCCTGTTTTATGAGCGTTTGTCTTCGATTTCTGTGTGTACTGGGTGATGATACAAAGTATGTTTCTTACTGTGGGCTGCAGTCACTGCACTAATTCATTGCACTAATCCAGCCTTCACCTATTGAAGGAGATGTTATTATGAGCCCATCCTGTAGATAGGGAAGGTGAAGCCCTGAGAGGTGACCTCACTTGCTGTGGGCTGCACAGTTAGGAGGGGCAACAGTCAGCACTTGCACGCCCACAGTCTGGCTCCTGGATCTCCCTCTAAGGTCTACACCAACATCCTTCCAATAAATCAGCAACTTCTCTTTCAGCTTGAGCTTCTTTAAGTTGGATTTCTGTGCTGTGCAAACCCAAGAGTCCTGACCAACAGAAGGAGGGAGGAACAGCATTGACAGGACTGACAAAGGTCCACTGCTTGACCAAACTCTAGTCAGGCTTCTAAACCTTCCCCTAGGTCCACCCATGTGCCTACCCTTACCTGTCTTCAGCAAGAATCCTGTTAAGTCGGTTTAGCCAGAATTCTCCTTATCTCTGATGTTTCCTCTTAGTAATTTTCCATGCACTGACCCTCACCTTGCTTCTGGGCTATAAATTCCCACTTGCCCATTCCATATTCAGCATTGAGCCCAATCTCACTCGTCCACTACAAAATCCTATTGCAGTGGTTCCTATACCTATAGCGACGGTCCGAAGTAAAGTCTGCCTCACTGTGCTTTAGCAAGTATCCTTGAGTAATTTTTTCTTTAACAAGGCACTGGATGTAGAGAGAAGAGTCCAGGTTCTAGGCTAGGCTTAGCCTGGAGTTTGCTAGAGACCTTCAGAAGGACACCTCACCTTTCCAAATATCTGTTACCAAGTATCTGTTTCCTCCTCCTGGCAAATGAAGATGGCAATAGTGTCTCCCTTAGAGGCATCGCAAGGAAGAGAGATAACCTAGGAAAACACTAATCATGTGTCTGGCCAGGAGTACCTGGGGGGTGGGATCGGACAGGGACAGCACATGCAAAGGTGTGGGGAAAACATTGAGCAGAGCAAGGAAAAATCAGCACAGGAAAGCAGGTATTGCAGGGCCTCAGAGGCTGGATGACAACAAGCATGGTCCATTGCCAAGCAGAGTCCTGGGCGGTTCCAGAAGAGTAAAGTGAGGAGTTCCCAAGTGTCCTAAGGTACAGACAGACACTTCCTATGAATTAAACTTGAAGAACACACAGCATGGTGCCTCCATCACAGGCGGCTAACACAGAAGAGTCAAGCATCTCAAATCTATGACCCGGGACTCCGGGGGGAGTGAGGAAACCCAATGTTCGACCTCAGCTGAGGCCTCAGCCATTCCCAGGGCTGAACAGCAGGCTCTGTGCAGAGCAGGAAGCCAGGAGCTGCTCAGAGGGCAGGCAGCTGTGAGGCCTCCTCTGGGAAAGCACTCTTTGATCTCCCTGGCAGCAGAGGGGTCCCGCTTCCTGCATCAGAGAATGTCTGCTCTGGAAAGGACCTTAGAGCTCGTGGACCCAACCCCATCGGACAGATGAGGGCAATGCTGCCCTGAAAGGTGCCGGCTTTGGTCAAGGCTGCACAGGGAGTCAGTGGACAAGTCGGGACCAGCATCCCAGCCGCCGTGCTGGCCCTGGACCTCCCTGTTCCTCTTGCTTCCTCTCGCTCAACGGGAAGGCAGCAGGGAGGGCCTGCTCCTTCCGATCTCTCTGATGCGGAGGGTCCATTTCCTGCCAAAGCTGAATGAGTTCAAAGGCCCCTGGATGGTCGAGGGATCTGGACAGTACAAGATGGGGAGGGGGGTCTTTAAAATCACAAAGACTACTTTCTCCTTTGAGATTTTTTTTTTAAGTTGGAAAGAAGCCAATTTCCTAGCATTCCTTCTTCTGATGTGGCCCTTGGCAAAAATGACACGGCGTGGATGGGGAGGGAAGGAAACTTAAGGTATTTGAGCTCCTACTGTCTGCTGGGCTCTGTGCCATGTGAATGTAACAATCTTTCATGGCAGGTGTTAGTTCACTCATTTCACAGTTGAGGAAATGGAGATAGAGGGAGGTGAAGTAACTTGTGTAGGGTCACACAGCTAGGATTGGAGCCCAAGTTTCTCTGATTGAGGAGCAATATTTGACTTTAGGCCACATCAGTGCCCTAGGGGTTGCATTCTGGGTTATCCGAGTTCCACTGCCCCATTCGTTCTTTCAACAGACACTTGGTGAATGTCTGGTAGGCAGCAAGTGCTTCAAGTACAGGAATAATCACAAAAATAGATGAGACTTATTGAGTACTTCCTATATGTCAGGCCCCATTCGTCTCAAGTGTTTTACATGCAGAAACTCATTTAATTCCTGCAACAGTCATGTAAGGTGGAAACTATTAAATATCCCCATCTTAAGAGTGAAAGTGAGGCACACAGAGTTGAGAGGAGGCATCCCAGTTCCATGTTTAGGAAGTGATAGAGCTGGAAGTCAAACTCCTGCATGCCAGAGTTCACTCTCTGGACCACGGCACTGCACTGCCCTGCCAGGGCTCCAGAGGCACAAAGTCTCAGGGGAAGACAGACATGACTCCAGGTAACTATAAGAAAGTGTGAAAAGGGGTCGGGCGCGGGTGGCTCATGCCTGTAATCCCAACACTTTGGGAGGCCAAGGCAGGCTGATCATTTCAGGTCGGGAGTTCAAGACCAGCCTGGCCAACATGGTGAAACCCCGTCTCTACTAAAAATACAATAATTAGCTGGGCGTGGCAGCATGACCTATAATTCTAGCTACTCAG